ATAGACACAGGTCCTCCATCCCTCACTGAGGTTGCTAATGCTGTCACTAGTCTGAAACGAAGCAAGGCTATGGTACCTGATGGAATGACTCCAAAGGTATTTAAAAACAGTGGAGACAGTTTACTGTTTGTGTTAACTAAAATATTAGGCAACTTCTGGGAATCAGAGGAAGTTCCGTCGGGTTGGTGTAAGTCATCGATTATCCCGATATACAATAAGGGAGACAAGTCTTCCTGTGATAATCACCGGGGGACTAGCTTAACTAATATGGTATCTAAAGTTCTAAGCTCAATAATAATGCGTAGACTAAGCAGTGATCGGGAGGAACAAACGCGAGATAACCAGGCAGGCTTTAGACCAGGACGAGGGTGTATTGATCATATCTTCACCTTTCGTCGGATTATGGAACATTTACCGGCGTCCAATAATCGTCATATTTCTTGACCTAAAGGCAACGTTCGATTCTGTCGACAGAGGTACTATGGCGATGTCTGGCTGTAAAGGGAATGCCGAGAAAATACATTGCACTGATCAAGGCACTCTACTCGAACTCATGCAGCCAGGTGAGAGCCAAAAGGAGAGTTGCCATCTTAAGTGGTGACAACTAGTCGCCTCCATCAGGGGTGCTCACTATCCCCACTTGTATTTAATTTCATTATGCATGTACTGATTGAATTAACCCTGACTCACTTCAGCGACTCAGGGGTCAACTTGTTACCAGGCAATAATCTCGTTGACTTAGAATATGCAGATGATATAGTCCTGCCTCCTAGGTGAAGACGCTGACAAAATGCAGAGTCTTCTGAACACCTTGAGCTGCAGTCTACGAATGTTCGGAATGCGATCCGCTCCCGCCAAATGTAAGATGATGCTACAGGACTGGACTACATTGACTCATTCCTAGCTGAGAAATAGGGAGTAAAGTGGTAGAGCACGCTGACCACTTCGCCTCCCCCGACGGGCATTACTAGCTGATATAGGTGCAGGTTGGGAAAGAGCCAGTGGTGGCCAAACAAAAACATGGCCTCATCAATCCATGAAATCCTTGACAGTTAAACTGAGTCAGGTAGGGAGACGCAGACTCCCGGGTTGGGGTCCTCGGGACTCTAAAAATCAATGGCTGGAGACAATGGGTGACATGGCTCAAAATCGTTGTCAATGGCGCAGATGTATTCAGTCTCTGTAATCTTTCATATTCCTTTCTACCACTACCCATTCTGTTTCACTCTTATACTTGTCAAACTCTATTAATTCTCTTCACTCATCTTGTCTACCTCTGTGTGCTATTTGGAACGTGGCAACTCTAACTGCTGCACTTCGGTGCCAAGTTCTATGTTGGATCCAGACTTATTTGAGAAGTTGCATCAACCAATCCCAACGGGATTATCGCCGACGAAATCTCTGCACAGATACAGAGGACTAGTTCCGCATATTCTAGTTTACGTCACCTCTGGTGTAGACGTGATATCCCGTCGGCTATCGACCAAAGGGCGTGTGTACTGCTCAGCAGTCCGCCCTGTCCTCCTTTATGGTTGTGAGACCTGGCCATTGAGAATGGAAGACATGAAGAGGCTTGCTGTCTTTGGTCATAGATGACTGCGTTCTCTCTCCCGTGTGAAGTGGTATAACAGGGTTAGCAATATTGAGGTCAGGATTCAGTCGAGTTCTAGGTAGGTAGGAAGGAAAACCAATCAACGAGGCTGTGAAATTACATCGACTGAGATGGTTAGGTTACATATGCATATGGTTTGGTTACGTATGTCATCGCCTTCCTCGACAATGGACAATGTTAGCTGAGATAGGATTGATCAGGTTGGTAAATAGCCAGTGATGGTCAAACCGAAACACGGCTTCATCAGTCAGTGAAATCCACAACAGTTAGTTTAAACTAGCCACGTAGGGAGGTGTAGACTTCCTGACTGGTTTGGGTCTTTGGGACGGTTAAACCAATGAAGGCTGGAGACAACTGGCGATATGGCTCAAAATCGTTCTCAATGGTTGGCATAGAGGCGTTCACTCCTTGTGACTTATAATTTCCAATGAAACTATGTTGTTCTTTGTTATTACTATTTGTTTTGTTTCATATCCTTGTCCACTGTTTCTATTTTCATTTCTTCTACTTCCTTCTGTTGCTTTTTGTGTTACATGGAGTGTGGTGACTCGAACTGCTGCACATCGGTGCATAGTTCTATGCTGAGACCCGTCAGTCACTAGGTGACTTCACATCAACACCCAAAGGAAGAAGAAATAAGAATGAACACAGAGGCTACAACAAAATTAAGTGGGAATTTAAGCCATCTATGATGTCGCAATACAAGGAACCTAAATATGAAATATTATGTCGGGGTCGCAAACAGAATGAATTAGGATAACTTTTAAACTCACAAGCTCTACAGGCTTAAGGATTTTACTTTCGGAATTACACAAGATGATGTAGTTTATCAAAAACTTTGTAATGACTAATATGAAGTATACAGGTCAAACCAGTTGACCAGGGTTAGCACAGATGATAAAAGAGGTGCATTTAGCTAAGTGAGGAATAAAAAAACCTTTAGAAAGTAAGTGAAATGGAACCTCGGCTATTGTAGGGTATTTTTTAACAGTTACACAGTGGCACAAGGTAATACAACAATTCTAACTGATAACGCATTTAAGTGAAGGAATAGGCTGATCATTGTATCAGCGTTCCCTGAATCAACACTTTACGCGTGCAATAGAAATGACAAGACACGAATACTGGGAATATGGGAAAAATTACCAACAATAAAACTAAAGGATACGAAATAATAGGACTACATAAACAAAGTTTGGAAGTCTTTCAATACAACTGTGAGCGGACGTCATCAGTGAACAAATAACTTTGTATCACTACGTGGCACCATCCAATAAAATTATTCTAATATGGAATTATAATTTAGCAGATTTTCCCACTTATCAATGACCTCTTTAGAATAATATCAGTCATTGAAGGTCTCAATCTTTAGGGAGGGAAATGATGATGTAATAACTACATGTTACTAATATCACTGAAATTTTCTAAAATAATAAGCTTCAAAATCCCTCCATACTTAAATAAAGTCAAGAGAAACCAAATCTATGAGAAACAGGCTAGTTGTAGAAATGGTTATAGATGCATCTACAGATAATCAATCTTCGTCATACTTTAGAACACACCTAAAGCTATTCGAAGTTAACTGCATCTTTTACCTAGAAACGGCTGTTGACTTCATCCATTAAGAAGCTTTATAGCGGTATGTTCTACTGGCAAATAATTCCGCAAAGTGTCTACATCGAATAGTATTCGTTAGGGATATTTAATGCCTTGACTTTGTAATATTCATGCTACTAGGAATCTATAATTTCATGTCTAACTTTGCAAGGATTAACCTCACCACAGAGGGGCAATAGACTACAATTTCCTGTTGGTTAAAGTTCCTGACACTGAAATTTTCAGGAAAATCTAAGCACGTCTCATTCACTAAGTGTAAACCGAAACTTTATGATAACTTAACAACAATACTGTCTGGCTATAGGAAAATTGCATTAATCTTCACAGATTAATGAATGATGAAATCTTCACACGGACGCACACCATTCGTTTAGCCTCCAACAAGCTGTACTGCTAAGAGGAAGGGTGAAATAAGCCCCCTCTAAAAATGACGTGGCATGGCAAGAGCTGGTAGACTTCGACCTTCCCCTTAAAATACCTTCGTCAACACCCTGACTCAAAACTTATGATGCAGAAGAGCTCCGAAACCCGAAACGAACGAGTGGTGTACGGATTGTCTTGGTTGCAGACAACCGTGGGAAGCTCCTACGACTGTTCTGATGTCTCGAGAACTAGAATTTAATTCAAAACTCTTAAGATGACTGTCGAGCAAACCGTGGGAAAAGTCAAAAGAAAACTCTACTAGCACACAAACGCTGGCTGCAAATAAAATGCTTAAACCAAGAAGTTGCACTCTCACAAGACAACTACACATGCGACAACCGTTAGTACGACGGAGATTTATAATAGTTGACTTAACTTGATTTTATTTAAAACCTATGCTTAGACTTAACGACAGTAAAACAACAAGATACCTCATATACTGTACAGAAAAGTTACACAGTTATCCTTAACTGGTTATGATGCCCACTAAGCACCTAGAAACTAAACCATTCAGATTATTTACTTTATTTCATACAAGGTTTGGGTGTAAGAGGACGTTTCTCACAAGATAATAAACAGCAATTTTAAGAAAAGAGAAGCAGAATAACCAAGGTACAACAGAACAAGAACAGATGAACACACTTATCAAGAAAATTAAAAAGAAAGCTTATTTGTTCATAGTACTTTCAGGAGGAGAAATTTACTCGACTTAATCACATATTATATGTCAAGAATCAATGTAGTTGAACTTACATCTGTATATACCGTTTGGCCTATTGTAATCAATCTCACGATATGTAAAATAACTAAGTCCCGCTTCCGATTTTTTTAAATTCCAAACAGGAACACTTCTGATGTTTGGAAAACACAAGTATGACTGTCGGGCACATTACAACAGTAAGTTGCAAAATGTTGATGCTCATTTTTATCCGGGTTTCGAACCAAATACAGGACTGTCACAAAGACTGACAAAACCTTTGTGTGAAAATAAAATGCTGATGTAGAGTTACAACAGCAAAAATTGGTGGGCAAGTTATAATATCAGCAGTGTGTAGAAACCATGATACTGAGATTACATCGAAAGAAACACAATCAAAAATTTAGGCAGTTGATTAACTAAGTGTACGTTGCTTATTAGGTCAGGATGCAACAAAATTATATATATATATATATATATATATATATATCCGTTGCTTCCAGAAAACCAACATTAATACCAGGGAATATTTTGTCAAAACCAGAAGCGATGGTTGCTAATTCACCTAAAGAAAATCTACACAGTATAACAATACGAAATCAGTTAGTAGTGATGCTTTAAGTACCTAATTAGTTCAAAGATAAAACTTACCAACATATCTTCCTTGGTTTTGAACGAAAGAATAGCGAAACCATCAATAATAACTTCATTGTACTTCTTTGGACTAATAGGGTCATACTTCGATTCATCATCTTGTAGTGTCTCATTGTGTCTAGAATCTTCCCTTTTAACAGGTTCTAGCTGTTGTTCGGTGCATAAATCCTTTGGTTGTTTATCATATAAGTCCAAACGTTTTACATCCTGAACCACTTCTTCGTCTATCTTGGGTGAGCGAGAAGTGCAGTCCATTTGTGGATCAACATGTTCGAAGGATAAACATACAGAATTAGGTATCTCCAGGGCAGAAGCAATCAGTCCATTCTTTGGAAGATTAAATCCAGGGCTGTTCTCAGAACTAATCGAATTAGACCCAACACTACAGTCCCTTATGATGGTTTCATGATTTATCAGTTTGACATCATTTTCTGTTGTGTATTCTTCGAAATTCACCGAATCCTGTGCTGTTGAACACTTAGGCATCACTCATACATGAAAGTAGTTTCCATTTACAATTAGAAAAAGGTGTCAGATTTTTCAGATAAACCAACAATAACTAGAATGACTGAAACGATAGAAAACCCCATATCAAATATCACAATTATGCTGTAATCCTTTTGAGAATCTAACGATAGGCAAAACAAGAAAAGCAACACAGTCGTTTGATTTTCCCACCTAAGTGTAGTGATAAAATTTCGTTATTTTCTTCTACAAAATTCAGTATTTTATCATGATGCTAAATAAAATTTTAAACTATAGAGTTAAAGCTTCCCTTAATGTCAATTAGTGGACAATAGGTTTAAAGCGGATAACTCGAGCTCTTATGAATCAACCATCTTTCAAACTTTCAGAATGGCATCTCTATATACTCATGATAATGTTTACGACCTACTTAACACTAAAGGCCTAAATTTATCTGAAACACGCTGACGTAACTTTCGAAAATCTTATGCTGCATCGCAGAATTCTATTTATCCAAGTGGTTCAGTTGTACCAGAAAACAGTTTAAGCAAATAAGTGTCAAGTCATTTCTGGTTAGAATCCCTAATTACATTCAAAAATTGTTTGTCACGGGCTTTAATCCCCTTAGTTCTCAAAGAAAGCTACAAGTATGTTTGTGAAGAAAGAGATGAAACTTTTGGCGACAAATAATCCCACAGAATTATTAACTTGAAGCTTATACCACTAAGTATTCAGTGCGACCCTTACTGTTTAAGTCGGTTGATTGTTTAGGAGCCTATCCCATCTGTCACCCCGTTGGATTACTTTCAGTCGACTCTGTCCGATCTCTGGTCAGGTATGCACACATCCTTACTCCTTTGTACCGATCCCTAAATACAGATCATGTTTCCGTCGATCTAATTTCGTCTTAATTTGGTTCGCTGGCCGTTCTCCATTTTACTTTGGATAAGTTCATTGGGTGTTGAAAAAGAAGAAATGCACACTCACAGTATGACCCGTGCTCGATGAATGCTTCGTCACGTAACCCAGTAAGCCCGCAACCAGGTCTCATTTCAGCTTTAGCGAGCTCGACCTAGTCTGCGCTTACCAACTTATAACATCTTCGCTTCTTTCAAAATTATTTGTGGCCAGACACACCGATTTATCCACTTAAGGGTTAGTATAACATAGATCTAGTTGGTTTCACTGTGGCCTGATGGCATAGTAACACGATTTCTTTGAACATGGAATAACTTATCAACTCTTTCAATGAATGGCAATCATATGCGCTCTGCCACGAGAAATAAACGACTGCATCACTTCTTACGTATGTTAGCCTCAGAGTCAAGTAATACCTATGGCCTAAAGAATCCGGCAATTCTGAAAAGAAACAATGTCTCAGATGGTCAACTTCTCTGCAAGATTTTCACCAACATTGAGTCAAAGAATGGTTCCGTGGCACACATGCTTTCATGAGTGCGGAAAGCCAGAAAGCAACGCAAATCTCACTGAGGACTCCTCTTACATAAGTTACCATAATCGTTGGAATTAACCAGCTGCTTTACACTACACATGTCGCCAACAGACCCAGTAACCCGTTGAATTTGTGTGCCAGTCAGCGATCTCCCTGATGCCAAGGAACGAACAAGCATACTATAAATTACCCACTAAATGAAAGCCTAGCACAATCATTGGAAGAAGATATAAAGAAAAAGTCACAAACTGATTGACAATACTACTAGTCTTTCAATCAAAGGCACCAAACGTGACTGGTGCTGGTACTGCAACACTAATGGCCAAGAAGCGAAATGTTACAGTAAGTCTTGTTACTTCGGCAATGTCTCAAAGTCTGTAGAAAACTATCCCGCTGACACGCGTTAGTCGCAACCGTTGCGGGTGGCACTAGCCGCCTACTTTACATTCATGATGTGATTAGCCAGACTCGATATTTAGTCGACACAGGCACCGAAGTCAGCGTCCTTCTTGCTACAGCAGCAGATCGACAGAAGGAACCTACCTTCAAATTACAGGCTGAAAATGGAAAACCAATCGCAACATTTGGTCGGAAATACGTCTATCTGAACGTAGGTTTATGCAAACCTATTCAGTGGATTTTCCTTCTCTCCGACGTCACAATGCCCGTCATTGGCACGGACCTACCTAATCATCATGATTACTCGTAGACGTCCGCCGAAAACGACTGATTGACAATACTACTAGTCTGTCTATCAAAGGCATCACCTACATAGGCCCTAGCTTGTCACTCGTTAAGATGAAAGCAATCCTTGATCCAAATTTTCAACCCATTGTTGATAAATATCCGGAACTTTATTGCCCATCAAACGACCTACCGTGCATAACCAGCAATGTTATGCACCGTATCATAACCTCTGGACAGCCCGTGACATCTAAAGCACGACGACTTGCTCCTGAAAGTCTGAAACCGGTTTACTTGGAAGATAATCCTATTAGCATAGAGCTGAGCGTACCCCATAATCCACAAGTAACCTAATATCCTTTAGTCCTCGGAGAAACCACTAACACGGCGAAAGCCACCGAACATTCAGTCGAGCCCCGTAAGGAAACCCGTTCTGGACGTAACGTAAGACTCCCAGAATATCTTCACACCTATATCACATAACTAAGTCGTGTGATTCACCCAAATCATTCGTTTTTGGTACTAATTATTTTTTTTTCTTTTCAGACCCATCAAATTTTTCATATACAGTATCACTAAACACAAGTAAAATTGTTTCTATAATGGTATATGTTACATGCACCAAAAATTTAGATGTATACTTTTTCGATGTTCTAACCTTTCCATTATTTAACTGCATGCTTGATGCACATAATTTTTTTGGAAAAAACGCCGATTTGGTACATTTTCCTAAACAAGGTTCTTAGCGTTCTTGTCTTCTTTTCCAGGTGCGACAGGCACTGGACAAGAAGCAAAGCACGGGATCCAACGAACAACATCAAGGAAGCGATGTACAAACACCCTATTAGCATAGACAGACCAGTGGGCACACCACCAAGCCGCTCGGAAGATTTTTTCACCTGAAAGGGAACCAGCGAGTTTTCCTACTTCTGGCTAGTTGTGCCTTAGGGTACTCACAAACTCACTAGGTGGGAGTAAGCTATAGTGGTAAATAAATCCCAAAAGTTATTGGCCATAGGAACAGATTATGTCTAAGAGAAGAATTACGTCGTGACCATAGAAATCATCAGTGAACACTGGACGCTGATCCTTAGAGTTTAAGTCGACTTGTTTAGCTGAAGGCTTCCGATCAAGCGTCCTCGCCATTTGATACTCCGTCGTGTCACTTTTGTTCACGATAACTAGTCAGCTTAGCATTCGCCTCAATCCGCGATTTGGTTCCGAAATATATCTCGCAATTCGGACAATCAACCGTGGTCTTTTGCTTTGCCTTTGTTACCCGAGAAACGAATACTATAGAAGTTGCTGGTATAAGATCTTGTGTTAATATACTGCGTACAACTCGCGAACGTCTATACCATCTGTCTGTAAATATATATTCCTTCCCAATTAATTCTTCATCATCACCTGGCTCCACACTCACCTGTAGTTTTCTACATCACGTATTTTACCAATCAAGTTTCTATTTTAGTTATTGATTTTTAGTTATAGGGGTGGGAAATTAAGGTCTTTAAGATCATCAATATTAGTAACAAGTTACCTAAGTTTTAAGGGAGGGGTAAAAATTAATTACGGAATTCAAAATAAGCTGCTTTTCGGACGTTAGTGACAAATCATTACATTATGTGAAATTTGTAGAGTTCGTTTTCAAATTTCTGAAATCTCCCATCTTTGTTTCACAAAGATCTTAATAAAGCCACTATACGTACGTCACTACCTTGTCAAGGTGGCTACCCACAGAAAATCCATTAGGGCAAACTTTTTCACCATAAAATATTGCACTCTTTGGAACCAACTACCACCTGAAATAAGATGTTGTGAAAACCCTGATGGGTTCAAACGGAGCCTAGAAAGACACTTTAACATGTACACCCTAGCTCGTCTAAAAGACCACAACTGTTGGTAGAACGGAAATTGAAGGCCAGTCCAGTCTTAAGTATAGTCACATACGTATATCCCTACTCTAATACTCACGCAGCTAACTTTAACTAATTTACTGATTTCTATTCTCTATAATTTTCACTAAGTTGTGCTGGTAAAAGTAACACTGGAAATAATTATAAGAGCATCCACACCTTTTAACATTTTACATATGTATATACTAACATAATAATACTTATTAATCATGCACGTTCAAATCTTAAATTAGATGGTTATTAAAATACTTAAAATGATTAAAATATTAATGCATCACATGTTCTCCTGCTTTACCACGCTTGTTTCCCTTATTACACTCAATTATTGAGCCTAGTGTATTATTTGATATACGAATTATAATTTTGATTATACTCTCATCATATATGGTTTGATTTACTCTACGGCTCCCTGTAGACTAACTACCATTCTTCAGTATACACACTGCAGTATTGTTAACCAGATGCCAAAATTTTGTTGGTTCTGTGTTAATATCTTTTTATAATATGTCTAGACACGTTACTTTGCAATGTCAGATGTTTACTATATATTAGTACACTAAGTCCTGCCAACCGACCTTACCTTCAGTTCATATTACCTACATTGAACCAACTATAATGTTCTGCTGAATCCTGCTCCACTATTCACAAAACCTATTCTTTTTACTCTCTGAGGTTTTAACTTCTTATAAAGTAATCTTTTCATTAGGACGCATGCACATATATATTATTTTCATAAAGATGTACGTGGAGACCTATTGGAAACACTCATTAAGAAAGCTAGGGAGATGGAGTATAAGGTACGAACATGTATGGTACCAAACAATATATATTTGCGGTAGCCATAATAATCATAGTCTCAGAGCCAAACATCGAAAAAAGAGGGAGTGTGGCGCCAGCTGATCAGTAGATATGGTGGTGGTCACTAAGGTGAATCACACCATTCTGCAGGAACAGCAAAATGCAATTTG